AAAAATAATCGCAATCTTGTGTCTTCCTTTTTTCAAAGGATAACTATTCGAGTTCACTCTCCATTTCGTCTTCTGCCTCAGGCGTGGGCGAAGAAGAGGAAGACATGGTCATTCCCATGTCGTCACCCAGAGCGAGCGTGTGAGAGTGAACTTTGAAGGATTCGCCAAGCAATTTGGTAATACTGCATTTCGTCAGTGAACATATCCTTACTAAAACTGGAACAAGGTGATTGTGACTCACCCCCAAACAACGACTTCATCAACCATGCCTCCCCAGACCATAGCAACAGCAGCACTCAGCCTTGATCCATACAACTCGACTGAATCATCGTCAAACAGATCCCTCACTTTAGTCAGCATCGCCTGTTCCTCCTCGGTAGGCGGCTGAACCTCGCTCTCCTCTTCGAGTCTGTACAACCACAAGCTCAGAATCAACATGAGTTCGAACCCACAAAGCGGATGCTCTACGCTCCAGTTTAGTGCAGAGGTTCTCGCGACCCAACGGATACCCATCAACGCCGGGATCTGGAAACACTCAAAACACTGTTGAATAACCTTCGTCATGGCATCCGATCTCGGTATCGAATGAGCTGCAGAAGTCATTGCTTGAGCGACATCATTAGGGTTGTGGAAGCGAAGTGCTTCTTGGACGGTAACAAGGTCAACCTCAAGCCTTGCGATGGTACAACGGTACATAGCCATGGCGTTAAACACCAGAGGGTGGCCTTTTTGAGGAGCGGTCAAAGGAACGATCATAGTCTCGGGTGTGCAATAATCTAAAGCTCTTTGCCAGGTATCTAGCGCGACGCGGAGCTTTTCACGATATTCAGACACAACCGAGTCAAGGATCTCGGGACTTCTTTTAACGCCCCAAACCTCGATGAACAGAGCATTGATCATAATGCGTGCAGCAAAAGCGCTGTACTGAAGAGGCTCCCCTCTGAAAAGACGCGAATGAGCTTCTTTGAAGGTGGGGAGTGAGGCGTTGACGAGGTGTTCTCGCCAGCTGTGATCATCAAAGCCATCCATATTCCACAAGGTTTCAGAGCAAGGCAATGGAAGCGAATCAAACTCATTATAAGTAATCGCAGGGAGATGGTTGTATGTCAATGTGAGAAGACCAAAGAAGACGTATACAGCAAAGTATGTTCGCTTGCTGCCCTCTTCCTCAATCCACTCTTCACGAGTAGGTAAATCATCCCCACGCTGCTCAGTCCTCAGTTGCAATTCATACCTGCCACCGGCAACCATCTATACAAGTTATTAGAATTGCAGCCTTTATAATCATGGAACGGAGGAACTTACATTTGCAAGGAGGTTTTTGATGGAGCAGGTCCACTCCAATCCCTTTGCATCACCACTCCAGCTTGCAAACACCATATTGAGCAATAAGGTCTGAGTAGTCCATAACGGGCAATTACGCGAGTTATATTCTTGATTTCGGTGAAGGAAGTTGTTTACCAACACCTTCGCAGACAGATGCAGTGTATAACTAAAGAGCGGTTAGATTTTAAATCGGGCCTAGACTGCAGGCGTTGGGAAATCGACTTACGCTTGTTCTTTCTCAAATGTATACAAAGCACCAATAGACAATACGGCCAACAACAAAGGCGGTGCAACCTTTCCTGGGCTGAATGATGCTGGGTGGAGGAATGGGAAATGGTGATGGAAGAGATTGAAATAGGCAGAAAGATATCTGTTCAAAGCACTTTTACTCGGCAAACGGAACTTGTCAAGCACAGCGCGATCGACATCGATTTCACGAATGTTATCTAGCACCATGTTTCTGTCGTGGTCTGAATCTACTGATGGAGGGGTTGGTGGGGGGGTAGTCTGTGATGAAGCACTGACACCACACGGATTTACGGGTGATGGAGGGCCCGTGAACCAAGGGTTCGGAGAAGCGTATGAAGTTGGCGTCACAGTCGAGCCTCCTCGCGAAGGATCGGCGGAGAGAGATCGTTCCATGGTGTTGCGGTAAGAAGGCGGCTGTAAGCTATTTGAGCTCCATGTCATTCCTGACTCATGCGAGGAAGACTGAGAACTTGACATATACTGGCTTCTTGGGGGTTCTGGCCCTGTGGTCGATGAAGGAGTAGGAGGATCCCAGGTGGACATATTTTGAACCGGAATTACACCAGGCGCATATGGCACAGAGGGATCGAACACAGATTCGGGGTTTGAAGACATTGAACGTCTTGATTTCTCTTGCAATAGCATTTCCTGCTCATCTATCGCCGCCGCTGCAGTTGCAGCATGATGAAGCTCAGTCATCAAGGCCGCAGCTGTCTCCAAATCTACCATCCCATCACTACTTGCTTCTAGCTGCTCGATGGTAGCTTGTTCAATCGTGATAGCTGGTTTTGATGGTGCTGATGTAGCATTCTTTGTAGATCTTCTCTTCACTTCACTGTGCAGTGGAACACCGCCATCCTTAGCATGAACTGTCCTGTCATGTCGCAGTAACAGATCTCTCCTGACGAAGGTGCTTCGGCACTTTAAGCATTTGAAAGGTCGCTCCTTTGTATCTACAGAAATAGCGCGCGACGAGTCAGCAAGCAAAAACAAAGACGCGCTCTCCCAGTGTGAATTCCTTACGTGATCTCTCATGTCTGCTCCTGTGCTCTGACCTGCTGAACGCTCTTGAACAGTATGCGCATTTGTATTTTCGTTCCTGTACAAGCGCCGTCTTCTTTGTAGGCTGGCTCTGGGCCGCCGGTGTTGAAATGACTTCGTGCATTATGTTGTTATTGTGTGTATAGGTCGACTATTAAAGCAATGAGAGCTTTATAGAATCGATGTTGAAATCGTTCGGGGATGTATATATTATAGGGATTGTTGAATTCCAAGAAGGGTCTTTAAGACTGTATTCGGCTTCCTTTCATTGACCAGCTCTGATGGTATTGGGGGGGGGGGGTTTGTTATGTTAACGAAGGTGTGTGTCCGAGGGTGAAGGACTGTTGCTGGTGATGATGGATGAGGATGAAGGGGCAGAGGCGAGGGGCAACGGGGACTATGTATATTAGAGGGAAGGCGACAGACGTCGTATGGGCGGCGGGGTAGTGAGAGGGAGCGAAAGACAAAACGAAGGGTAGGTGGGATTTTTGAAAGAGAGGAGGGGCATGGAAGAAAGGGGGGGAGGGGGAGGTATAGAAGGAGGGAGAGAGAAAGGTAGATAGATGGAGGGGCGAGTAGGAAAAGTGCAGAGTCTGCTGCGAGGACGAGCAGTACAATTAAAAAAATATCAAATTAGGACTGGGGCAGTTGGAGGGGGCCGCGGACGAGGGAGTGCGGGGGGGGGGGGGAGCCAAATGGAGGGACAGGAGGGGGGTGAAGGTGGAGGGCTATCAAGCTAGGAGGCGAGAGCGAAAGGGGTTGGGGCTGTCGCTGGTCTTGCTGGTTACTTGCTGCTGCTGCTGCTGCTGTGTTGGGCAGCTTTGGACTCGAGTACGCTGTGTTCTGTCTGGAGAGGAAGGGAGGAGCAGCACTCGGATGACCGAGGTGTAAGTGAAGTCTGTGGGTGAGGCGAAGGAGCAGGCGGAAGAGCGCCAGAGGACGAAGGGGGAGTAATGGATGGTTGGGAGGTGTTAAGGAGGGAAACCCGAGGGATCTCCATGGGTGGATGCTTGAATTACTCCACAGTCACTACGGGTAACATGTGGTGACCGCTCTACATCGTCACATAAATGGTTCCGTCCCGAAAATAATGACCAACAGTTGTGGCCCTACACACCCAGAGTAAGCTAGGTAAGCTAAAGCTTTGATGCACCTCCACCATGGAGTAGAACAGCCCCTCCCACCCACATCCATAAGTCTCCCATCAACCCCTCCATGGGTGGAAAGGATGGAACTCAGGCTAGCTGTAGCTAGAGTAGAGTAGCACTCTGCTGACTGACTTACTGGCCCTGGAGGCAGCATTACGATACTCTACTCCTACACCCTCCACCCCAGCAAATAGACAAAACCAACAACAACCTTTTCAACTCCCACATCCTACCTTAACCTCCCACTCCCACCACCACCACACTTGTCTGGCAGATGTGGATGGGTAACTCATGCTGGCTGGTGTGAGTGTGAGTGCAAGAGTGTGTGGCTGTTGCCGTGGCCGCTTTTCTGTGATTTGTTTAACAGCAGGCATTTGCTTGATGAGAGGTGTCCTTACCATATCTGCATCCCTGCCCCCAGCTCTCACGGATCCCCTTCCATATTATTCGAGACTAGTAATTAACGGCCAGAACCCCAACCCATACCCATAACTTATTCGCCGTATATGATCCAGTGCCACACCAGTTCCTGAAAATAACAACCCCTCCACCTCCACCTCCACCCTCCCCCATTTTCTGTCCGTACATGAGCCTCTAATTCGTGCAATGCTCTATGTCAGGTCCGTCATAAACAGTGAGCGGCTCCAGACAAGATGCGTATGGGGAAAGTCAGGTCCCTATGTCAGAGTAACTCGGACTTTCGTTTCCGACCTCACCCCAAATGTGATCCGCTGCTGCGCTTGAGGCCGCCAGTGGGGTTCGGCTGTTGTAAGGCGACTTGGTCGGTGGAAGCGAGGATAAACCAAAACCCCAGCCGAGACTACTACGCTCCCACCACCACCACCACCAGACCCAAGGGTATGAGTGGATCTAGCAAGAATCTGCTATGCTACCGAAAACGTGCTAATTACCGTCTCCGCAAACGCACCCAAACGAAGCGAAAACCTAGGAATGACGGCTAGGTAACGGTACGGTACATACAACATACATACTCAAAACGCGCATGTTTATGTAGGTATTCCCTTCCACCCTCCGCCCCATACAACAGCAAAAAACAACAACAACCTCTCTCTACACCACAATCACATTGATCACGGCCACCCCCCCTAGTTACCCTCCTTCCTACGTACGCTAACTTCCTGCCACACCGGGGTTGCAGAAGTATTTCAGTCATGGCAAAGTAGGAATAGCTTACGCGGCCAAGCACCCTTTGCATGTGTGCTGGCAAGTCGCTGTTTAAAACCAGCCTCGCCTGTTGCTGGCAACTGCTGACTTGCCTGCTTCTGCTCCTGCTTCGCCGCTACTGCGAACAGAACATGTTCCCTCCTCCTCGGCCTGCCCGCACTGTACAACTGAGCTGCGGCCAGCCCTTCCGGTTAGTTTTCGCAGGCGGCCTTGTCTTGTGACTTTCCTATCGAGCATGTTGTGTTGTCTATATCCGCCAAGGAATAGTAAACCTGTCCTCTAGGGTTTAGCGCAAGAACAATACCCTATCTGGAGTCTCAATTTCATACAAGACATGAACCCAGCTTAGTTCCTTCAAGTCCGGGTAGTCGGAGGAGGGAGATGGGGGAGTTTGTTTACCTTTGACCAGCCAAGTTGGTAATAAACAACATCTCTCCCCCCACCACCCCCGAAAACCAGGCCTTCGGGATCCACCAGGTTCTGTTTGAGGGAATCAGGAGTCAATCAAATCTCTCAGATGCTCATATTCCTTTCTGATCTCATCGTTTCGAAACAGAATGTGGAAATTCCGAGACGAAATTGGCGAAGGGGAGTCTTCCTTTCTGCACAAGGGTTGCTTCTCAACAGGGGACAGGGGTTCTACAAGGAATTCATTTTTCTTGTTAGTGCCCGTGCTTTAAGATCCCGAAAGCGGTAGTTCCAGAGACGCATCGGTTTTGCATAGAGAACATTTCTAGCCACCGTTCTTTCTCTCTCGGCCACTTATGGTTACAAGGCATAACCTATTAACTTTATGAAGATTATGCATCATGTAGTACACACTTATTTAGTGGTGTATGTTGATTGATCATTGATGCATTATCATGTTATTTTATAGCGCGATGATCAATCGACAACAAAAATTCCGCAACTGCTTCCGTTATTGGGATATCCATTAGGCTATTTTCCATGTATTTCACTACCTACATGCCCTTCCATGGGCTTTTACAACTTCCCCAGGTCTTGAGAGTGTGTACCTGCTACTCTACTCTACTCCATATTACTCCAACAGCACGGTAAGGAGTGAAGGGGGTTACATAGAGTAGGAGGCAGAAAAAAATTACCTGGAAAAAAAAAGCAACGAATCTCATAGGAACACGACGAAAAATTTCATAAATAAAAATAAAATATATATGGCTATATCATTACATCTCCCATGATGCTTAACCATGCAAAAGTAACCATCTAGATTACCTACATGAATACCTACCTCCCAAAATCTAATCTACCCACCTAACTACAGCTAGACTACTACAACATCTAGTTGACGGGCTGGGGTTTCCTACTTCACACACCGGGCCCCCTGGTTGATGTTTTTTTTTTTTTTTTTTTTCGCTAGATCAAACCCCACGCGTTCTGGAAAGCCGCTGCTGCGAAATGTCCTTTTTTCCTTTTCCCTTTCCCCCACGTAGGTACATGTATCTACCTTTTTTTCACATCACATTTTTCTGCTTTTCGAGACATCCCGCCGCCAGGATCCGAGGATGTGGTCCGGCCAGTGAGCCAATATAGTTGCGTGCTTCGCCCACCCCTCCCTTCGCTCGAAAATTTTCGCAAGAGAGGTCGTGTCTGTGCCTTTATGTTACAGAGGGATCGAGGGGAGGGCCGTGGGAGGTGTAGAATTCTGGGTATCTATCAGTCTATATCTAGCTAGAATCTAGCTGGGTGGATATTTACGAGTACGAGTAGGTGCTAGCTAGGTAGAGTAGGTAGAGTGAGTAAGAAAGAAGAACAGCAGCTTAGAGGGCAGAAGGGTTAGTTTGTAGTCAGGTAGTCACAGAACTAAACTGTTAATGCTTCGTCCGAACTCGAACTGATCGATACCGGCGCGCCGTATAACCTCTAGAGTATTCCAGCTCTCCGGTGCACCTGGCTTCCTTCCCCCGTCCTCCGGGAAATCCACCAGGAGAAGCGTACAGTAGTGTAGTGGGTCACGAACTTTATTACGCAAGTCGGTGGAGTATATATCTCATCACCCCGTTACTCACGCCAAATTCCTGTAAGTTATGTACAACACAACACTTACCCCGGGACATACATGCATAGCTTGAACAGTCGAAGTAGGGTAGGGTATGTAGGGAGTGACCGTACCTACATGATAATACATGCACTGCACGCAACGGCACCTACTGTACTTGTAGTTACAAACATTGATCCTCCCCATCGACGACCACGTACCTTTATTTTTTTTCTGTGCGTGTGTGTGTGAGTGCTGCGCTTAAAGATACGATAAAGGATACTCCTTCTGTATTCGCGCTCGTCTTGTTTCCGTCCTCACCTCAACCCCAACCCCAGCCGCCGCGACACCTAACCTTCCTGCGCTGCTTGCCTACCTTACCCTGAACCTCCCACTCTCATCCCACCTCCCCCACCCCTGGGCGGTAAGAGAAACACATGCCGATTGATTGATCGATATGGGCTGTCTGTCTGGCTGGCTACCCGTCCATCTGTCTGCCTGTCTGACCGGAGGGGAACGCCGTCCGGAGTTTCTCGACGGAGGGAGGGAGGGAGGGCTGACCGGACTTATGATAGTCCAACTAGCTTACTAGCCAACTAACCAGCTGGCCCCTTCTCCCCCCGGATTATTTAATATTTTTTTTTTTTTTTTTTTTAGCTTTAGTGATCGATTTTAAATCGTGACAAGTGCCGTCCAGCTGTCCGTGTTTTTCCCCGTTTGGCCTTGCCTTGCTTATTTTCCTGCAGAGCAGCGGGATGGGATGGGATGGGATACGGATGGGGATGGAGGAGGGGGGGAGGAGGGGTGGTGGGGTATAAATGGAGATGGAGATGTAGATATAGATCATACCTCTCTCTCTACCTATCTATCTGGCTGTGCACCTACCTCTGCTCTGCTTTGCGCTGCTCTGCTGCCATCTCCGGCGGCGGCGCGCGATAAGGTTGACTGCCTGCCTGCCTGCCTGCTGGATGCGAGATGGAGCAGGAAAAGGAAGCGAGACGTGCGGGGTGGCCCGGGCGATATGTGACAGAGACAGCCTCCTCTATTTTTTTTGTTTTTTGTTTTTTGTTTCTACTTGCGCGGAGTGGTGGATGGGAGTGGTGGGTGGATTGAAACGGGTGTGCGTGCGGTCTAGTTTGAATCTGGAGGGTTGAGGGCGCACGAGATGGATGGAGGGATGGAGGGAGGGATGGATGGGGCTGATTTGATAGAGAGATAGAGATTGTAGATAGATTGGGTGGGAGTGAGTGAGTGATTGAGTGATTGATTGATAGCGAGATAGCTCACTAACCAGATGAGCCGATCATGATAGCCAGTAGCACGATATCAAGTCATCAAGAAACAACCACAAACCAGCTGAAGGAGGTCAAGTCATAGAAGAGGAATAGTCTGGAGGGGTAATGGAGGGGCTAAGTACGCAGAGATGTATTTAGATAGCAGATAGATACACACAACCTCCCTCTTTTCCCAGGTTCTAGTCCTCTAGAGTACATACCCGCCAGGAAATCTCTCCACCTCTGCCGCACGTCTGTGCGAGTTTAGAGCCTGAACTCACTCATGAACAGTGCTTTCCCGGGCGTTTGGAGGAAGGTGGAGGGGGAGGGGTAGAGAGAGTAACCTCTCTCTTGAGCGACCTCTCTATCCCTTGTGGCCGGAGACGAAGATCAAGCCGTGTCCCTCCCCCCGTCTAGTATGTAACTTACCTACCTACCCGCCCGCAGGGAATTGGGAGTTGGAGTAGAGCAGAATGGTAGCTCCGAGGGCCGATAGACAAGAACATTGTATGCAGCCCCATTCGCTTGGATAAAATAACGGGTAGGTTAGCTAGCAGTGTGCGTTTCCCAGATCAGAAGAAACCTAGGTGGGCGAGCGTACTAGGGTATAGCGAAAAGTGATCAGAATCTGATAAGACAAATACACGTATTCACCGCAGTATTCACAGTATTCACTTATCAGATTCTGATCACTTACCCTCAACACCCGGTACAGGATGGGGGATCGATTGCGATATCATATCAGAGTCGAGCAGGTACAGGAATATGATGATCAGCTCTTGTCTGCTCTAGAGTAGAGTGCCATTCTATCTACATGTCGATACTTGTAGCTAGCTAGCTAGCGAGGCGGGCGGCCCGGCGCACACGCAGTAAGCAGGTCCGCCCGACGACCGCTCGTAGGGCAAGATGAAGTGGGAGAGGAAGTGGGGAGGAGTTACGCCTGCTGTACTCTCACCACCTCTGTACACCGGGCACAGCGTCTACTATTCCCTCTCACCCGGGTAGGTGCTAGTACCAGCTAGTCCTCTGCTGGCTAGCAAACCAGTTAGCGAGCTTCAGTTGAAACGAATCACACCGCTCGCCCATAAGCTGCACTAGCCGTTTCTGTAGGCATATAGTAGATAATCGTCCCCTCCATCCATCCATCCATCCATCCATCCATCCCACCCCCACCACCACCACCAACTACTAGTCTACTACCGCTACCACCACCACCACCATTACCGCTAAACATCCCCAGCCCAGCTGCGGCATTTTCAACCCGCCAATTCCACCTTCTCGGTTTCACTGACCGACGACCCGGTCTGCCTGGGTCCGTAGTTATTGTATTGTATTGTATTCCATATATCGTAGGCTAGGTGGGTGAAGAGGGAGGTGAGGGGATTTTTTTCTCTCTTGCAACCGGGAAGAGGGATGCAGTGCAGGAACCTCGCGACGACGTACGTACGTACATGCTGCTGCTGCTTCTGCTTCATACCTACATGTATGTAGTCAGTCTGCTCTACCTACATACATTACATGCGGTTCGCAGTGCGAGCCAGGCAGAAAAGGCGGATCAATTGCCCCCTGCGGTCTTGTCTACTCTAGATGCACCAGGTCTACGGATTCCCCCAACCTCCCCGCTCTTTCCTCCCTCCCCCGCTTACTCCGAGGGTATTCTCCTACTCTATGTATGTGCGGTTACAAACTACTGCCCCGCATCTACCACCCAACCCACCCACCCACCCAGGAGCGGGATTTAAATTTTTCTCTCTATATTACCTAGAGTGCACCGCATCCTCCCTCCTTCCACCCCAATCCCCCGCCTTATCTTCCCCTAAACCTCCCCCTTGAAATGGACCTCGGCCACTGCGTCATGGTGCCGATAGATATTTGTATCTGGCCCGGGCGGGATTGGAATTTTGAAGGTACTAGGTCGTCATAATCGCAGTTGTCGGCGCGGGCGCGCGCGCGGTCAGTCGTTCACCATACCATCCGGGGCGTTCGGCTTGATTATGAAGAAAGAGGCATGTTGAGGAATGAAGGTGTGTGATTACGAAAGATTGATGGCCAGGATGAAGGGCGATGGATCTGAGATCTGTGATGGGGAAGGGTTGTTTACTGATGTATGTAGGACCCTTTTTTTTTACCTTGTTCATTTATTTTGTTTGTGGACCCTTTGCGCGCTGGCGCGGAGATGGGGACCTGATATCCTGTTTCCGGTGGCATAGCATAGGATTCTCCGATATGGCCATTGAAAGGCGGGCCAACAAAAAACCAAATAAGCAGATAGACATACAGAGAGCTAGAAAGAGATTCGCAAAAGCAAAAGGTTATTCCGCGCGCTCCCCAATTGAGAACATGATAAGGGTCCCTTTCTCCCGTCTCGAACATCCCATCTAGAATGTCTATGGTGTAGGTATCCCTATCATATCACTAGCTCCCTAGAAATCCGATGCCACATGTAAACGAACACACACTCGCAGTTTATCCGATCCCAGTCTCTCATCAACGGCCTGGTCTAGCCTGGCCCCGCTAACGGCTGGCTGGTTCCAGGTTGTTGCGAGTCGAATATCTAGGGGAGAGCCTAAACGGTAAAGTCGTGCCCTACGACATATTACAACATTGAATGGAGAGGAAAAGAGGCAGGTACGGGTGAGGCACGTAAACATTTCTTTCTGCACTCTAGATATGTGATGTATGTGTATGTGGTTATGACAATCTGCCGACCTGATTTGAGCAGATATTTGCTTCACACAATTCCCGTTTGGAATGGGTAGGAGCCAAGTGCCGATCTGGTTTTGAGTATAAGCAAAGAGTTCTGGTATGGGTTAGGCGCCGCCCCGTCTGTCAATCCGTGTACTCCATCTCCACCCTAATATGTGGAGTGGATGAGAGCATAGTGGAGCTCTGGATGCATGTGAGAATCTTCCACAACACATGGGAGGACCTTCGAGAATGAATGAACTCCTCAGCTCAAACCCCTGGAGCAGCAAAACGAAGCTAGGCAAGAAGAAGCCACAGAGCACTCTGTAGATCGGGATCGTGAGACCTCCCCGTAACACTCAATAATGAAACAAAAACAATACAATAACGGTAAGGAAAAGAAAATAATAATAATAATGAAAATTGCGGACATCCGCAACGGGTGAGTTCGGATGATCGGGGCCCCAATCCGAATTGCGCTCCCCCAATTCGGGACAACTCTGGGAAGTGAGGTTGGCCGTTTTGGATTGAGGGTACATCCTTTTTGGTGCGAACTAGTTTTTTGCTTCATGCTGTCAGCTCTGCAGCAGAGGTACGTTGTGTACCGAGTAAGTAGGTAAGTAAGGTGTTTCTTTTGGATGGCTGGCTGGATGGCTGGTTGGCGCATCGTGGCTCTCGGGAAGAAGCCGAGGACGAAGCAACCCAATTGATGGATGGACCTCCGCGAGACGTTAATGGATGTCATTATGCATATCTTGGGGTGTTAGGGCAGCAACGAGGGCAGGGCACGAAACGATGAGAATCGCGATGAAACAGAAGAGTTCGACATCGAGCTAGGTGCATGACGGAGTACCGGTTGTCGATACGATACGGTCGTAATTTTGTTGAGCTCTCAGGTGAAGCAGAGCAGAAGCAGGAAGCAGAAGCAGAGGGTAGAGGTAGAAGCTGCCATGGCGACTTCCGGCCTGCCATGTTTGCTCCGGCTCGATATCAAACTCGACTGCCCCGCCGGGGTTGATGGGTATGTAGAGGAGAGGGGCATCGATTGTTGAAAAAAAGGAAAAAAAACGTGGGTTGTGCCATCTTGTTCTGTTCGGCTTCCTTCGACCTTCTTCAACGCGTCAAAGCGCTTCAAGAAAAACCAGAGAAAAAGTAAGGAAAATATGTCCGCATTACGACAGCCTGCCACCCCGGCTTTTGGGAAAGTGTCAAGAAGACTAGCCATCCTGTCTCCGTTAGTAGGAATGACAAGAGGCAGCCGTTTGATGGAAACGATCTGAAGAATCCCGGTCAAATATCGACCGTTGAAAGCACTGAATTCTAAAGGAAGGAACGAGCCTCTTTGCCTAGGGCACTAAACCACTGGAAAACAGCTAATTCCTGCGGGCTATCCCCAGTACTGACACCAGTCCGAGAACCCAAAAGCCCGAGACTTGGAAACAACAGCGATTGAGCGATTTAGGAATTCTCGCAGATTTTCTCTCTAGAGGCTAGAGGGTTTGGGATATTTGGTTGAGGTTAGGTTTTTATTTTGTCACAGCAAAACTCTTGATATCGATGTCGATTTGCGCAGGAGAAGCCTTTTTTCCCGCAACTCTTCTTGGGTACTTTGGTTCAATAGTTAAAAAAACGTGCTTTAGATTATCTGCGCCGCGACAACCCCCCCTGCTTCAATCAATGTGGCCGGGACTGTAAAAGTCACCATACCCTTCACCCCAAGGAGGGAAAACGAGGTGCGTGTGCTGATTGATGCAGTGCAAGGAGACCAGTGATACACGAGGAGTGGCTTGCAGGCCTCGCCGCCAAAGAGGACATATCACACATATGGCGCGGAGGCATCATATCATGATAGAGTGATGTGTTTAAACTAGAGGGGCACAAGCGGAAGGTGAGAGGGTGAGAAGGGGAATAAACGGGAGTTTTTCTCTAGGGTTTTTTTTCTGCTTTCGTTTCTTTTGTATTGTTGATGATGGCATCGCAGGGAAAACAAAGTATACAGCAACAGCAGAGGATTCAGCAGAATGACGCATGTACCCGAGAAAGGCAGATTGCAATTGGATGGTTCCTTTTTTTATTTTACTTTTTGGGAGCAATTGAAACGAATGTAGGTGCTTAGTTGCCTAGCTAGGGGCCTAGGGCACTCAGTACCTAAGGTAGCAGCGCGCGCGTGGGCGAAGAAGGTAGAGTAGAGAGCATGTAGGCAACTGGAAGGATACATACATGAGCATTGGAAGAATACCTTGGAGGTACTCTACATCTGAGACGCAGGGGCACTTTGGCAAAGACTTTGGCACTCGACCTCACAAGGGACGCAGACCGTGCTTCTGAACCGCATATGGATAGGCCGAATGACTGATGGAATTTGGTGATTGAGTGACCAGGTGAAATTTCTCCTCTTCCCTTGATGTTCGTCATCTCATTGATCCATCTCGTTCAGGTGTACGAGGGGGATTGAAAAGAACAACAGGGCTAAAAAGAAGCAAAGAAGTGAAAATAAAGGAAGAAAGAAAGAAAGAAAAGAGGAAGCACACAGGGAAGAAAGAACAACAGAGAGGCGGCGCAAGTAAAAGATATTATTATTTTTTTGCCTCCACGGGATCATCAAGGGTTGCCTGGTTGTTGGTTGCTGTCTGTGTGAATCTCAGTCAAGTCAAGCAGTCATCAGAGCTTGTTGCTATTGCTACTACGGGCTATTGGCCTCGCTCCATTCCCCAAGCCTTCCCTTCTTCAGTCCTTTACTCCAAGCGGCTGCTCTTCTCCGCTCGGCGTTGCGGAAACCAAATCTGGTCAACGTCTCTGTAGGTGCTGCTGCTCAGGGCTGCGAATAAACCCATACCTACCGCTCAGCACAAGCACAACCACTCACCACCACCCCCCTTTACCCCTCGACGCTGCTGCGCTTGTTCAACTCACCTCATTTTAACTCTCCTCCGTTATCGACCATCACCCCCCTCCCTCCCCTCCCACCCCCCCAAATCAACCATCCAATAGACATCGTGACGTTCTCATCGACTGTCCATCGATAGCCGTCATTTGGGCTTGTTTGGGGTTTGCGGCTGCCCCACTGTTACTTACGCATCCCTTACTCGGCCATTCTTAGTCCCTCCGGTCTCCCCTACTCCCCAATCCAACATTGTTCAAGTCTCACCCACTAGGGCATCCTGGCTATCTTGATTCGTTGCTTCAGCCAATAACAGCAATCAGGACCTTAGCGATTATTCCCCTCCTCATCTCCCCTCAGCGACGTCTCTACTTGTGATGATTGCTACTGCTACTGCCCGGCACTCACCTCTCTTTTCGCCGTCAGCTACATCATCGCGTGTTGAAAGAAACGGAATTTCTAACGGGGCGGGAAGACAAGGATCTACGGACAGTGGATTTAGAGAAGGAGGAAGGACCAGTCGGCCGTCAACTGCCTCGAGTTACAGTCGCGATCGCTCTGCATCTACATCTCATCAGTCGGGAATGCCTCAGAGAGCAATAAGGAGAGAAGAAGTCATTCCAGCAAGGATGTACGTGCGCGCTCTTTATAACTACACTTCGGAAGATCCCACCAGCTTGAGCTTTAGCCAGGGCGATGTGATCACGGTGATCACACAGCTGGAAAGTGGGTGGTGGGATGGCATAGTTCACAACCAGCGAGGATGGTTCCCCAGCAACTATTGCGAACTCATCTCTCCTCACGAGGTGACGCAAAACGGTAGCACTCAATCTCCGCTGGAAGACAGCGATGAATATGAAGACGACTCTTACGATGACGATGAATACGAGGAGGAGGACGACGACGACCCAGAGCGTGGGATGCCGTCGCCGATTCTGCCGCTTGAAGGTACGGATGATAGAGAGAACGACGAGGCTGCGTTTTGGATACCTCAAGCGACGCCGGATGGAAGGTTATATTATTTCAATACAAACACAGGAGTAATGAGGACCGATCTTCCGCTGGAGGCACCAACTTCGACAACAGAGTCAGGTCCTCGAGATAGATCAACTTTCTCTGCCCCCGATCAGACTCGGCCACCGCCTGAGCTCCTGGAAAGGGCCTATGGAAGAGACGAATCAGGTAATCAGAATTTCGGAGAGGAGGAAGAAGGCGATTCGGCTTCCGATGTTGGAGAAGGTGAAATGTTGGTTTTGTCAATGCACAGCCCTGGACCCTCGCGAGTATGCTCCCCTAAAAAAACTTTATGCGTCGCAACCACCATACTAATGTGTGAAAACAATAGGACAACGGTGGTCAGTATTTTATTCCTGCAAAAACCACAAATATAGAATGTGTAAACTCATTTAATCTTCTAGAACGTGAATCGCAGGCCACACTAGTAGACAGCACCGCATCAGTCGACTCCGGGAACCTCCAAAATGGCTTCAGACTTGGACATTCTCCCTCGTTCTCAACATCGACCGCAGCTACCGCCCTTAATGTTGGAAATGGCGTCACTAACGGCCATCCCATCACATCTCCGGTCGTTGACACAAGGTTCGACAATACCGTCACCATATATTACGAGGATGGTATAAGTATACCAACATCGTGGGATGAACTGATAGAGTCTACTCGGCTTACAGTTGAGAGATATCGGAAAGCGATCAATACCTTTGACCGCTCAAATTATGTTGCTCGGGCAGAAGACATATCCGATATGCTTCGATTATTGATCACAGCGGGCTCGGGAACCACCGATAACCATTCTGGGCAGCCGTCAATAATTATGCGAAACACTACTTTAAATCCCCATTTCAGACACTTCATGGCCGCATTCTCAAAACTCGTCCTATCTTCGCATGTAGCAGCAACAGATTGTCCTCCACCAGATGCTGAATCAAAATGTTTGGCGGAGGCGGATGAGGTGATGGTTGGTGTCTTTGGTTTTGCAGATATTGCTAAAGCACAGAGAGAAGGAAAACTGCCCCGGCTGAAACCAGGTTTTATTCATGGAAGTCAGTATGGAATCAACTGGCGATCTGGAACTTTATCAGCGGCAAGTCAAGGGGCAATAACCTCTCCGCTGGAAGTTGAGCTGGTAAACAAGATGGAAGAATTGACTTCTCTTGTGAAGCCCGCCTTGAGACGACTTGAGAATTCTTTGGAACCTCCATCAGAAGCCGTGATTACAGAGTATGGACAGGGTCTCACCAGCTCAAACCTTATCAACATAGCCTCAACTGCATTCGATATCATGCGGAGGTACTTTTACGTTATTGATACTATCAACTTGTCAGCTTTGACGGCATCCCCGAACCACCCCACTCTATTAGATTTTTCAAGTCAGAGACAGCGATTGCACGACTCCTTTGCGGATCTGTTTATGGCTTGCCAGGCAGTCTCTGCCCCATTAGCTGACGAATGGACGGCATGTCGCGGGGACGCTTTGGAAGACAGGCTGAATTCAGTCCGGGGATATATAAAGGAGGTGGATAGTGGAATAAGTGCCCTGAACTTTTCAATATCGTTGCTTGTTGAGGAGAGAGATAGCCGGGAGCCTAGGGAGATCACGACGGAAGATCTCACGCGGAAGGACTCTGTATATCCCGGTATGCAGGGTCGTCCAACGCATCAACGTTCGTCATCACGTCACCAGAATACTTCGAGAGCCCCATCGGTGATGGATAGACCGCTTCCTCAAGGCGGGAAATCCAAAATCACCAAAATATTTGGTGAAGAGCCTCCTCCAGAAACACCATGGTACCTTGCATGCGATCATGATAGTGAGATCGTATACGGTGCGAAGGGTAAGGTGAAGGGTGGCTCATTGGTAGCTCTGGTTGAACGTGCCTCTCGTCACGATATGCTGGACTCAAACCTGATCAGTACATTCTTACTCACCTATCCCTCATTTACGACTGCGTCCGAGCTCTTCAATCAACTTGTCCGAAGATTTACGGTTCAACCTCCTTCTGGGCTGTCAGCAACCGATTTCGAGATATGGACTGAGAAGAAACAAAAGCTTATTCGTGTACGAGTTTTGAGTATCATGAAAATGTGGCTGGAACAGAATTGGATGGAGGGGCTAGATGATGCAGCGAAAGAACTTTTGAGGAAGATGCACACGTTTGCCAAGGATGTCATGCTGCCGCAGTTATCAGGGGCCAACCAAGTTCTATCGCTCATTGATACACGATTACGTGGTCAGGAGCCCGAGATGAAGCGCATGGTTCTGAACATGGTTTCTCAGCCACCCCCACCAATTCTACCAAAGCACATGAAAAAGCTCAAGTTCTTGGACATTGATGCTTTGGAATTTGCTCGTCAATTGACCATCATTGAATCCAAATCATATGGAAAATTAAAGGCAGCTGAGTGCCTGAGCAAGGGGTGGAGTAAGCCACCGAATGGTGGACCAGATCCCGCTGAGAATATCAGAGCTATCATCATGCAGTCCAACAGACTTACGAACTGGGTTGCGGAAATGATTTTAACCCAGAACGAAGTTCGAAAGCGAGTGATTGTGATCAAGCATTTCATCGCAGTGGCTGAGGTAAATCTAAACCTAACAGGTCATTTATTTGGATGCTAACCCTTGTTAGAAATGTCGACAATTGAATAACTTCTCGACGCTCACTGCCATTCTTGCAGCGTTACAGACATCTTCTATTCATCGTTTGAAGAGGACATGGGAACACGTACCAACCAGGACTAATGCTATTTTGGAAGGAATGAATACTTTGATGGGGGCGACCATGAACTTTGCTGAGTATCGAGAGATGCTTCACATTGTCAATCCTCCTTGTGTTCCGTTCTTGGGTGAGTTTGGTTCCGGAGCGCGTTTTCTGAAGAAACCTACTTATACTTGTGGCTTTCGTCAGGTGTTTACTTGAAGGATCTCACCTTCGTTGCCGACGGAAACGAGGATTTCATCAAGGGAGATAAAGGCTTCATCAATTTTGACAAGCGTGTCAAGACCGCCAACATCGTGCGCGAAATTCAGCAGTATCAATCAGTACCATATCCATTGCAACCGGTACCGGAACTTCAGGAATACATCATCACAAACATGCAAAGTGCCCGAGATGTCAATGACATGTACAACTTGTCACTATCTTTGGAGCCAAGAGAGAGAGAGGACGAGAAAATTGCGAGGTAAATACATTTCTTATATCTTCCCCCAAAATATGATTCGGTCCAAATCGTTTCCTTCCCCACCGACTCGCTTTGTCGTTGAGATCCGGAAAAATATAGTTATCGCGCGTCTCAAGCGCAGAACAGAGCGAATCGGTGGAGGAGGGAAAATCCAGATCATATCGATGAAGATGAATCGTTTGTTCTGACTTAAAACCAGATTACTACAAGAATCCGGTTTCTTGTAAGTTGGTGGGCATCTTTTTACAAAAGTGTATTGTTTCTATTGCTATTTCTTTATTTACTGGGATATTTCTTCTTTTTTTATATTTTATATTTGAGGCATATTGTATGTGTATGTGGTGGGGGAGAGCCTAGTTTTTGGTACTGGTGGTTACATGGTTTCCTAAACTATTTGCTTTTGGTTTTTTCTGCGTCACTACGGCTTAAAGCCAAGGACATTTTTACATCTTTTTTTTTGGTTGTTGGGGTTGGAAAGGTGGGGGGCAACGGTCTATTTTTTGATATCTTTTACAGTGCGATTTTTACAATTCCTTAGTTTAGTCCCTTTGTTATTCTCATTTATCACGGATCGGAAAGAAGGCTGGTTGGTTGGTTGCCATATATTGGTAGTTCAAATTGTTGGGTTTGGTTTATTGTGTTTACTGTGTGTATCATGCGGTTTCCCTTTTTTTTCCCTTTCCCTTTTTTAACGGCCTTTTTCTTTTTGTCTTACTTTGATTCACCCCCTTATTCTTTTTTTTCTTTTCTCCCTCTCATCCTCTTCTTCCATACCACCTTCACCACCTTCATCACCACCACCACTACTCACTACTACCCCCCTTTTCCTATTTTTCCAACAAACCACCATCCCCCTTTTCCTTAACTCTCTATTCTCATTTTCATACCAGGTGTAACGGGTGCGGGAGGGCGGATCGATTGATTGATTGACGAAATTTTCACTTTAAGTTTCTGGAGTTTTAAATTCTTTTTTTTTCTTTCCTCATCTCTCTTTCCTATCTCTCTCTCTTTTTTTTTTTTATCAATTTGTGCCTAGCTAGCTGCCCATGGATGGGTGAGTCTGACTGATTAGGGTTGGATGTGTGTGTATATATGTGTATATATACAGCTACCATGCCTTACTACTACTGCTGCTCTGTTTACTATGCGTGAACGTGAACAAATGAACCCGAAACGGGTGGGGATGTTGGGGCTTGATAGATACCCGCCCCGCAGCCACCGGCCACAGCTTTTAGTAACTACCACCGCATAACTACTCCATACAGTACCGTAGTTAGCTGTGTGTATCCATAGCCCACCACCACCACCACGCCCAGTAAGTGGGGGCCGTAGTATAAATGTTGGGAGGCTTTCTTTCCTACTCACATAAACATAAACCACAAGACCACAAACCCCCAGTGGCGGCAAAGCGTCTGTTTGAGGCGAATCGAAACTCTGGAATGGAAAAAAAAACTGTTTCGTTAGGTATTTCGTTGTTTGTGCTACCTTGGACATGAGCATGGACACATTTACTAAGTATGGCTGGGCTGGTTGGGCTGGGTATCCTGGATTCATGCTATGCTATGCGATGTAATGTCTCCGTACCGCACCGTACCGCACTGTACCGGCGGCGGCGGCGGCGATGGTGGTGGGTGGTGGATCATTCATAGCATAGCATCCGTCCGTGCTGTCAAAAATATTTCTTTTGTATGTATGTCTGGCTGTTTAGATGTGTTCAGTCGCCCACCCTCTTTCTTTCTTTTCCCTCTTTCTTCCTTGCACACATCATAAAATGTCTAAGGCAAATACCAAAACTACTTTGAGAGAATGTTTCCCTTCCCGGTAACATAAACATCCCCAACACAAATCCACAAATCCCCAACTCTAGCCAGGTAGTTAGTTCGTCCACAGCCCAGGCATGTAGTCATGTATGCGGAAACTAAACAGACCCTGCCGAGCAATATTCGGTCCAACTGCATATCCGGCCCAAACTACTACTCAGCCCTTCTACACTCAGTGAAATCCACTACGTACCACCTAGCATAGAGTTACACCAACACCCTCCCAACTATGTACGTAGATCCAGCCGTTCTGCTGTGCTGTGCTGTGCTGCGCTGTCGTGCTCACAACCACAACCACAACGATCCGAGACCCGTTGCATTGTTCACACCCTACCTGCCTACCTGTCTGCCTACCTGCCTGCGTACGTGCTTGTTTACATGGGTTCGGAGGAGTTGTGTTGGTTTAGTTGTGTAACTACTAGCTAGGCAGAGGAGGAGCATGGCAGGAAGGAGCCAAGATCTTCGACTTCTTGTGGTTTCTATTGGACCAAGCTTCCCTGCTCGTCCACTTCGAGTGACTGTAATCGTGGTGGTGGTGAGTGGTGAGTGGTAGTGGTGGATTACATCCACCGATCATTACCATTCCCAGCCGGGGTAGAGTAGGATAGGGGTATCTAGGGTGTGTATGACGACAGTGCGGTAGTGGGGCTTCCATAGTGGGGTTTTGTACCTCCTCTACGTCTCTACAGTAGTACTTGTACATCTACTAGCAGCTTCGAATTCTGCCTCGTAAAGGTTGAGGCTATTATGGAGAATTACAAACAACCGCGTAAATATTTCACCCGTAGAGATGCCTAATTGTAGAGTATCATAGAGCAGAGATGAGCGGTTATGAGCGCTTCGCTTCGGGTATCAGTATCAATGATCGTGGGTACTGGTATTTAGTAGTGGGGGCAATAATGAGGGGAAATGATTGGATTAGTAGTATCTAGTAGTCTAGGTTCAATTACTTGGTTAGTAGAGCAGATAGTTAGGCAGCGCATATATAACTCCTAAAAGCCCTCCAAGTACCTACCTATCTACCCCGCTCATCCCCCACAGTTACCAATTAACTGCACCTACTCCACAACCATATATATATTCACAATGGCACCAATTGGCATTGCAATTCTAGGCTCCGGCAACTTCGTCCGCAACCAGCACAAGCCCGCCGTCGAAGCCTGCACAAATCTCTCCCTCAAAGCTGTCTACTCGCGCAGCAAAGCCTCCGCCAGCGCCCTCTTCGCGGACAGCAGCAATGTCGACATCTACAGCGATGACTCTGGCGCTGGCCATGATCTAGATGCTCTGTTGGCGCGAGAGGATATCCATGCCGTTATCATTGCGTATGCTATATCTCTATGCCTGACATTTTAATTTCAATGGTCTGAAATGATTGTTCGTCATAGCTGACCCAATTAAACCTGGTGACCAGACTCCCAATCCCCCTCCAGCCCGAAATAATCAAAAAGTGTCTCCTAGCGTCCAAACACGTTCTCTCCGAGAAGCCCATCGCGCCCACCCGCGCCCTCGCCCTCGAACTCATCGCCTGGCGCCACGCCAATATCTCTGCTAGCACACACTGGGGCGTCGCTGAGAACATGCGGTTCCAGAACGGATGGCGGTACGCCGCCGAGACAATCCGCACGCTCGGCCGCGTGCTCAACTTCCGCGTCGAAACGGGCAACATGCTTGCCCCCGGCGGGGCCACCTTTGAGACCACGTGGCGCAAGACGCCGGCGTACCAAGGTGGCTACTTGCTTGACGGCGGGGTGCACTACACGGCCATTATTCAGATCATGCTGGGTGATGATCGGGTTGATAGGGTTGCGGCGTTCACGACTAGACTGCAGGAGCACCTGCCGCCAGTGGATACGGTGGATGCAGTGTGGCGGACAAAGGCGGGTGTGCAGGGGACATTTTCGTGTAGTTTTGGGACAACGGTGAAGAAGTTTGACTATGTGGTTGTGTGTGAGAAGGGGGTGGTGACGGCCACGTGGGATAAGGTGACGGTACAGAGGGGGGCGGAGGTCGAGGTAAGGGAGTTCCCAGAGGACGGGAGCGGGGTGAAGCAGGAGGTGGCGGCGTTTGCAGAGGCGATTGTGAAGGGGGCTGCGGATGAGAGGCAGTCGCCGGAATTGGCGTATAGGGATTTGGATATTGTGAGTTTTTCCCTATTGGCTCTGTTCTGTTTTGAGAAGGTGTTTTTGCTAACTGTTTGGTAGATTGAGACGATGCTGAGATCTGGGGAGCAAGATGGTGCGACGCTGAAGATCAGCGGAGAGTTTTCATAGTTGTAGAATTGACAGGCCAATTATATATTGAGCTTTCGGGCATTTATTAGTTATGCAGCATGAGTGCCATGATTATTAGAATGATATTATGATGAAAGATGCTGTTTTTGATGATGAGATCCCCTCCACAGTGATTTTTATATTGCAGAAATCCCATAATTCCCCGGTGTTTTTTTCTCGATATTTTCCTCCGTGGTTTCTTAATATTTAATGTGTGCTTAAACTTCCTCTTCTGGAGTAGTGCTTTCTCGATCCATAGAATAGTTAGCAGCGAATCACCCGCTGCAGCCAGCCAACCGATTGATTGATAATTCATTGATTGTTTGCAGCCAGCCAACCCGAGTGTAGGAAGACTCGATAGATAATAGGATGGATGGACGAAGGAGGATGAAAGCCTATGATCTACTTATACGTATAAAAATGACACGTCTACAAAGGTACTTAGCCAGACCGTCCAGGTCCTGGACACTGTTACCAGGACCACCTTACCTTGCACCGAGTGATAATCCACAGACCCCACAGAACCCACCAAACAAAAACACGAAACAAAAAACAGGTCAATGATATTTCTGCCCGCCTTCATTCATGTTTCAATTCGGAACCCCATTTAAATCCTGCGCCGGAAACTGAAACACATTGCCCAGGCCGAGGCACATTCTGTTCCGTTCCCATCGGCATCGGGCCGGTTGGAAAGCCACGGTCGGGCGGAAAAACAAATAGCCGCAGCCCCGCGCAACCGGATCCCCAACAAAACACTACGGGAGAGTTGTGCATCACGAAGTACAGAGCACAACACAAAGCACAATGCCATTAACTGCATACTGCGAGACTGATCACGATGTCTAAGAGGATGAGGTATGTAATATGTAGAGCAATATATCACTGCTGCGGTGGTCGTCGTGATTGTGCAA